AATTCTATTAAAAAAATTCAATTTAAATTTTCTTATTTTATGTTGGTTGATCTGAAGATTAATGTCTTTTTTCAAATGATTAAAAAAGAGTTATAAAAATTTAACTCTAGTGGAAATTTAAAGGCACTTGGATGACATATTTGCATACACTTAAAGAAAATCTTTATTTTTACTACAGTTGTCTTATTTTCGACTTCCAAAAGAGAGTTTATTTCTGGCTTTTATGACAACAGTTCTATGGTATTGGTTCCGTAGAACTTTCAGAATCTGTCAAGCGATAAACATTTGCCAATTTTAGGATCTTCTTGAATTCAAAAACCTTTACTATAAGGAATTGAATATTGTACTTCCAGCCCTTCCTTCAATCGACCGACAGTGATCTTTATCTATCACACGATGTCAAAGAAAATATTGAAGCTATCATAGTGTACTAACTGACTAAGGTAGGTTTCAAACTATCAGATCGGCATTTCTTCCGGTTGCGACAAGTTAGGACTTTCTATAACAACCGGGAAACTAAGACGATTTCTTCCAAAATAGCCTCTTCCAAGTAAAACTCTCAAAGGAGACTTTCTGTTTTCGAAAACTGCTTTGAGAGAGAATTATTAAACGATCGAAGAATTGATATCGTCTCGAATGAGTCACCAACTGCCCGATGTTTGGATCTCGCTACTCTTCACTAAGTAAATTATTTAACAAAGTTTACAATAGCTTGCCCATTGACAAACCAAACTCCTTACCTACTTATTCTTTAAACCTCCTTTTTTCTATCTCCTCTATATAAGAAGAATTATCTTAGAGAGTCTGCTAAGAAGACTAATGGTCCATACGCTTGTTCTCTGGGACATAATACAGGTTAAAAACTCCTTTTTCAATACCTTTTGGACTCATAACAACTTGGGATATTTCCAAGCGCACCTTGTTCATAAATCGGATGCTGCATTGGTGTAAGTAAAGACGTTATGGGTCGCTGATGTTGCAATTGTTCGGAATACATTGTTGACTAACTATACTGAACATTTGGCTTTAGACTTCGCCCTTACTTCACAAATGATTACCGTCCATTACAATAATTCTCAATCCTCAATGAACTGAACAAACTTAAGTACCACAGATTTTAGTGAACCGTCTTAACGTTAATGTTATTGCAATAATCGGGTAAAGACATGTCGGCAGTCTGTCGAGACTATAACTTTGACTCGCGATCAAATCAATTAACCTAACCCGCAGGGTTAACTGGTTTTATGGAACCAGTTGCTTGCAGGATATGGTATCCTGCTTGGTCTCGCTCTAGGGACTGAAGATTGCAGAAGAGAATGTTGGTTGAAACATTGATGAAATTTTGTCTTCAAGATAAGTTCCGGTGCTGTTGCCGACAGGGGAATGATTGTGGGAGTATATGTTGGGAATGTGCTTATATCATAAGTATTGGATGCATATATTTCGGGACCGTCCCATGTCTCTAATTATGCAAGTCTTGGCTTATTAATGGAGAACGTACTTCAGTTTATCAAATATGTATGTCTTTCGGTGCCGTTGCCGAATCAGAACGGGTCATCTTAGTAGTGTGTATTGTAGAGGAAGGGTTCTGATATGGTCTGAATATTGCTGGACATTCTATGGCGGAGCTATTACGATAAGTGTTCCACCTGAGTGTACTTTGCAAATCACAAGGGGGTGGTGTAAAAACGAAGTCATCGAATCGAAGTCGTGAATAAAGATAAACAGTGCTTAGGTTGGAGACGTGACCTTTATAGTTCAATATGGCGGGTACTTACGTAAAGTACATCTGGACCCTTTTTTGAAAAAACATAGTAAGGTCCATCCAAATGGGGGAAAAGACAAAACGGATTCAATAAGGAACTTTGCAGACGTCGAAGTCGTGAATGATATAAACAGTTCTTTGGATGGAGACGTGACCTTTACTTTTTGAAAAACCTTAGTAAGTTCCATCCAAATGGAGGATGAGACATTACGGATTCAAGTAGGGAATTTGTAGACGTCGAAGTCGTGGAGGAGATAAACAGTACTTTGGATGGAGACGAGACCCTTACTGTCGTATCACGGGACTTTGCGGACGTCGAAGAGATAAAAAGTACTTTGGATGGAGACGTGACACTTACTGATCTACACACATGCCAAAATTGTTGAGCGTGATAGACATGTACTGCCCGACTTGATCGTTTATGGTATTTTGCGATTGACACCTGTCTTCTTAAGTGTATCCAGAGTCTATAAGAAGATGGATATGACAGATACTGCCCGACCTGAACGTGGATGGAGTTTTGGAATTGAAATCTCTTCAGTTGATTCCAGTGCCTTTATGAAGATGGATATGACAGTACTGCCCGAACTGAAGGTGGATGGTGTTTGGGGATTTAATAATATGGAGAAGTTAGATTTACTCTCTGACAAGAACTCTCTTGGGATCTTTGGGGGTTGAATGATGGCCACATGATCCTTGCCTGTATACAGGTGGCCTCAGTCGACCATCTACATTGCTTAAGCTCATATAGTTTTTCACGTATAGAGCGTTTGCAGGTTGAAAGCGCTATACCGACGAAAGGGTCGGTGCTCTCTTCCAAGTGAGGAACCTAATTTGGCAAGAGAGTCCGCAGTAGTATTACCAGAAATTTGTTGATGTCCTGGAATCCAGTACAGTCCTAATGTGGAATGTTTCGCCATCTCATTAAGGGATGGCCGGCATTCTAGGACTAAGTTTGATGTTGTATAGGCACCACTTAGAACCTTAAGGACTGCCTGGCTATCGGTATATATTTGAAGCCAGTTTGCAGCTCATTTTATGGCAAACAGTGTGACCTCCGGTAGGTTAGTGGTTAGTGTTCTAGTCTGGTAGACCGGAGGTGGTGGGTTCGATTCCCACCTGAGGCACTGGTTAAGGAGCGCACAACAGGCCCGATATAGGTCTAGGTGTATTTCTTCGGATTTGATGTATATATATATCCTCCTTTCAAGCTAACTAACTAACTAACTAACTAACTAACTAACTAACTAACTAACTAACTAACTAACTAACTAACTAACTAACTAACTAACTAACTAACTAACTACTAACTAACTACTAACTAACTAACTAACTAACTAACTACTAACTAACTAACTAACTACTAACTAACTAACTAACTAACTAACTAACTAACTAACTAACTAACTACTAACTAACTAACTAACTAACTAACTAACTAACTACTAACTAACTAACTAACTACTAACTAACTAACTAACTAACTAACTAACTAACTAACTAACTAACTAACTAACTAACTAACTAACTAACTAACTAACTAACTAACTACTAACTAACTAACTAACTAACTAACTACTAACTAACTACTAACTAACTAACTAACTAACTAACTAACTAACTAACTACTAACTAACTACTAACTAACTAACTAACTAACTAACTAACTAACTAACTAACTAACTAACTAACTAACTAACTAACTAACTAACTAACTAACTAACTAACTAACTAACTAACTAACTAACTAACTAACTAACTAACTAACTAACTAACTAACTAACTAACTAACTAACTAACTAACTAACTAACTAACTAACTACTAACTAACTAACTAACTAACTACTAACTAACTAACTAACTAACTAACTAACTAACTAACTAACTAACTAACTAACTAACTAACTAACTAACTAACTAACTAACTAACTAATCCCATCATGACCTAAAGGCTGAAATAATTAACCCACTTCCTTAGGACAATTGTTAACGTGTTAATGGTAACATATGGTAACACAATGGGTCATAACTGGACCCAAATAAACTTTGCCTCAGGCGGCTGCCTGACCTAGACCTTAGAGAAGCTTTCTCTTTCTAACGAGATCAGTAGGAACCAAAATAGAAGTACGATTATGTTTAAACTAAGCTTTTTAACATGAGCTAAGTTTCTATAGGGTCTCTTTTTCACCTTTTCACATACATATGTACTCACTGCATATATGCACACCACTTACCAATACCTTTACAAAAAAACATTTGTTGTTATGACCATAAACAAAAATGTTTGTTTGTGTTTGCTTTAAGCCAATAATGAAAGAAACAACAAAACACTTGTTGTAGGTGTTTAGTTAAGCTGAGGTGAAAAGCTTTTGAACACCTGTTAATAGTGTTTATTAGCAACAAACACACGCTGTAGAAAATAAACTTTTAAAAAAAGCTTTCAAATATTGGCAATAACAAAAGGGTGGGTGTTTTAACAACAAATTGTGAACAAATTTAAATTAAATTTTAGAAAAATTAGTTTAAAATATAAGAAAAAAAGTGTTTTTTTAAAGTTTATTATCAGAATAATGAGGAGGTGAATAAGTAGTTTATATAGTGGAAATAATTTAAATAATAATGAGTTGTTGTTGTTGTAGTTTTTTTTTTAAAAACAGGCAGACACAAAAAATCTCAAGAATGTTTGGGCGATCAGGTTTCGCCTGTTTGCTAGTGGCTGGTTGATTTTTTCTTCGTCGTTGTAGTTGTTGTTGTTTGCTTACTTTCAAAGATCATTGTTGCTGTTGGTGGTAAGTATAAAAAATATACATATAAAGCTGTTGTTAAGTTTGCTGCTGCTGCTGTTGCTGATTTTTTTTTCAAAAACCAAAAAAATTCATTCTCAAATTTTTCTACTTTTGCTGTAAAGCTGCTTGCTTGCTGCCTTTGTTGCACATGCTGCTGCTGTTGCTGCTTGTTACTTACTAACTACAACTTGATTTGTTTTAATGACCGGCTTAAACAGAGGTGAATTTTTTGTTTTAAATTTTCTCAAATTTTTGCTGTAGTTTCCCTTCCTACTGACTTGTTTTTTTGCATTGAAAATTTTAATATTTATTGTAGTTGTTGTTGTTGTAGCTCCCACTTGAATATTTCGACTGTTTGTTTGTTTGTTTGTTTGTTTTGGATCATGGTGAGTTTCTTTTCTACGAACAAACTCCTCTGTCTCTGATAGCAACAACAATTAGTCTCCATTTAGACGTGTTCGGCTTAACTTGTGTGCACGCGCTTGTTTAAGTTTTAGATTTTAATCATCATTTTCATTTGTTTTCTGAAAACAGAAAAATACAAAAAAAACATTTTAAACTTTATGTAAACGAATAGAATTTTCTTTAATTTTAAAAAGTTTTTGAAAAAAATTTTAAACGAAAAAATTTAACGAAAACCGTGTGTGTGTGGCATTCAAATTTTGAATTTTAAACGAAAACTTAAACAAAAATATTGTAATTATTTGGCTTTTTAAAGAAAATATTTAATTTCTACAAACCAGTATTGAACTTTAATAAAAAACAGCAGAGAAAATTTGCAATAAAATTTGAAATTTTTTTTAAATTATAAAACGAAAACAAAAGTTTACAACAGAAATAAACCAAAATTATTGGATTTTTATAAAAAAGTATTGAAATTGAAACAAAAATTAAAAAAACATATTGATTTTTTTTACAAAAAGTATTGAAATTGAAACCAAACAAATACTAGCAGCAAATAAAATTATTCGATTATTATAAAAAAAGTATTGAAATTGAAACAAAAATTAAAAAAAAATATTGATTTTTTTACAAAAAAAGTATTGAAATTGAAACCAAACAAATACTGGCAGCAAAAATTTCAAAAATATTGAATTTTTTTAAAATATTGAATAAAAAAGTATTGAAATTGTAAACAAACTTAAATAGGAAACAAAAATTTAAAAAAAATATTGAATTTTTGTAAAAAAAAGTATTGAAACTAAAACAATAAAAATTTAAAAAATATTTTTAATTTTTGTAAAAAAAAGTATTGAAACTAAAACAACAATTTTTTTAAATTTAATTTTTAAAAAAATCTTATAAGAAAAAATGTGACAAAAACAAAGTTAGAAAAATTTGAAAGTTTTTAAAAATTTTTAAATTTTTAAAATTTTAAAATTTTTTAAAATTTTAAAAAATTTGAAAATTTTAAAAACAATTTGAAATTTCTAAAATAAAAATTGTTAAAGGAAAATTATTAAACTTTAAAATCATTTAAAAAACTACATTTTTTAAAAAACTAAAATTTAAATTGAAAAAAAAAATTCAAAATTTAATTTTTAACACATTAAATTTTAAAAAACTTTCTACAATAAAATTATTAAAATAAAATTTAATTGAATATTAATCAAATAATTTTGAAAAACTCAAAATAAAATCAAATAAAAACTTTGAAAACTATTTGAAATTTCTAAAAATTTTGTTTAAAATTATTAAAATCTTTAAAAAAATAAAATTTTATAAATAAAAAACTTCAAATTTAAAATTTTAAAAAAATTAAAAATTTACCAAAAATTTTCAAATTTATAAAAAATTTCAAAATTTAAAAAATTTTAAAAATTTTATATTTAAGAAATTAAATTTTGTAAAAAACTTGTCACACAAAATTTATTAAAATAAAAATAAACAGAAATAATCAAATAATTTTGAAAAACTCAAAATATAAATAAAATAAAAACTTAAATCTCAAAAAATTTCAAAATTTTAAAAACAATTTGAAATTTCTAAAAAATTGTTAAACGAAAATTATTAAATTAAAAAATTATTAAAATCATTTAAATAATAACATTTTATAAATAAAAACTTCAAATTTAAAAAGTTTCAAAATTTTCAAAAAATTTCAAAACTTTCAAAAAATTTAAAAACTTTTAAAAAATTCAAAATTTAATTTTAAAAAAATTAAATATGTAAAATATTGTCACACAAAAACTGTTAAAATAAAAATAAACAAAAATAATCAAATAATTTTGAAAAAAATAAAAATTTTTCAAAAATTTAAAAAATTTCAAATTTTTAAATTTTAAAAAATTTCAAAATTTTCAAAAAACCATTAAACAAAAACTAAAAATTAAACAAAAACAATAAAATAATTTTGAAAAAATTCAATATTTTTTAAATAAAAACTTAAAATTAAAATGTTTAAAAATTTCAAAATATTACATAAACATTTTTAAAATAAAATTAAACGAAAATAATAAAATAATTTGAAAAAAATTTCGAATTTATCAAATAAAAACTTAAATTTTTAAATTTTAAAATAATTCAAAATTATAGAAAAATTCAAAATTTTAAAAATTAAATTAAATTCATAAAAATTGCTAAACGAACATTTTTTTAATTAAAATTAAATGAAAAAAAAATAAAATAATTTTGAAAAAAATAAAAAAAAACTTAAATTTAAATTTTTAAAAAATTTTAATATTTTAAAGAAATTCAAAATTTTCAAAATAAAATAAAATTAGTAAAAATTGCTAAATAAAATTATTAAAACAAAATTTAATAAAATTTAAAAAAATTTCAAAATTAAAAAAAAGTTTCAAAATTTGTAATATTCAAATAAAATAAAATAAAATAAAGTACTAAAATAATTTTGAAAAAAACTTAAATTTAAAATTTGAAAAAATTTCAAAATTATAAAAAAATTTAAAACTTTCATAAAAAATTTTATATTAAATTTTTTTTTAAATAATATTAAAAATATTAATAAAAACATTTTTACAAAAAATCTTTATTTAATATAATAAAAAACAATAAAAATTTTTAAAAAACTGAAATTTTGAAAAATTTTAAATTACTGTTTTTCAAATTTATTAACAAGAATTTGAATATTTCAGTATAAATAACGAAGATTGGCAATTTTTTTATAAATAAAACGAGAAAATATAATAAAAATTTATTAAAAGAAATTGAAAATTTTGAAAAAAAATATAAAAATTTGAAAATTATTAAAAAAAAATTAAAATAATTAAATATTACAGAAGTTTTTTTTAATAAAAAACATTCAATAATTTCTAAAAAGTATAAAAAAATAAAACAAAACCTTCAAAGTAATTTTCGACTCAATAAAACTACGATTTAACTAAAAATAATAAAACAATTTAACTAAAAAAATTTTAAAAAATTTCAAAAACTTTCTTTGAAATTTCTACAAAAAAAAAAAAAAAATTCATGATAAATTTTAAAAGATTTTATCTTTGAAATATTAAAATCAAAACAAATCGTTAAAAAATTTATAAACAAAAAAAATATTGTGTAAAAAAACGTGAAACAAATTTTAGTATTCAATACAAAATTTAATAAATTCATACACCCAGCAAACACGTTTCAATTAACGTCATAATAAAACGTAACAAAATTAAATAATTTTTTTAAACAATTTTCAAAAAATATACACAACATTTTGTCTATCAAAACAAAAAAAAGTTTATTTAAAAACCATTAAAAACATATTTAATTAAGTATTACAAAATACAAGTGTTTTATTATTTTTAAATAAAAAATTTAACTTTTACTGCAAAATAAATAAACAACTATTTATGGCATCGACTACGTTAACAAAATCATCATAAAAAGGTAAAATTGTTTATATTTACACTCTCTCCCTCTCTCTCTCTCTCTTTTAATAATAATATGACATTTAAATAACTAACTGTCATATTTGGGTGTAAACATGCAGTTTAAAACCTGTTCACACTAGCTAAAGTAGGACTACCACACAAAAACATATGTATGTGCTTAATTTGCAAAAGCTTTACAAAGTTTTTATAAGATTTTTAGTTTTAAACCCCCCTCCCCCTTTCTCCTGGGTTCATAATTATTTTAATCTTTTCCCTTCCTAACGGTTTAATTTTGTTTTTATTAAAAATTATAATTGTTTAATTTTGTGTTTACATAACTATATAAAATTATAAATAATTTTTTAAATTAATAATTGCTTAATATTATCTCTATCCAATCATCTTTCACTTTATTACTACTATTACTACTAGTAGCGAGAGATCATAGTAAAAATTTTTGACAGCTATTTGTCATGGTTAAATTGGCCTGTAACCAACCAGTCGTTTGTCATTTTAATTTGTGACACATATTAATATGCCCTGGCGGCTACTTTATACATATGCATATAAAGACATTTTAATTAATGAAGATTAGAGAGAAACAACGAAAATTTAATATGTAAAATTGCTAATTTTATGCTATTAGTATTAACGATTGAAGATGAAGTAAAAGAAGTGATAGAAACATTTTAAAAATATTTATTTAAAAGTGCAAAAAAAATTTCTCATAGTTCATGTTTTATTAATACAAATAAAATATTTTTAGAATATTAGTATATAATTTGGACTATAGTCTAGTCTATAGTTAGGGCTATAGTCTGGGCAACAGTTTAATCTCAAGTCTGGATTACACTGTTGTGGTCTATAGCCTGATCTATATTTTAATTCATAGTATGGACTATAGTTAAGTTCATAGCGTATTTTATAGACTGTCTATACATAGTATAGCCTATAGTCTCGACTATAATCTATTCTATAGTTTATTCTATAGTTTCGACTGTAGTCTATTTTGTAGTCTCTTCTAGAGTCTATTATGTAATCTCGTCTGCAAGCTATACTATAGTCTATTCTATAGCCACGACTATAGTCTATTCTATAGCCACGACTATAGTCTATTCTATAGCCACGTTCTATAGTCTCGACTATAGTCCATTCTATTGTAGTTTAAGCTATACTATAGCCTATTCTATAGTCAGGACTATAGTCCATTCTATAGTATCTACTGTAGCTTACTTTATAATTTCGACTATAGTCTCGACTATAGTCTATTCTACAGTCTGTTCTATAGTCCCGACTATAGTATATTCTGTGGTCCCGACTAGTCTATTCCATAGTCTCAACTATTGTCTATTATATAGTCTCGACTTTAGTCTATTCTATAGTCTGTTCTATAGTCTCGAATATGGTCTATTCTGTAGTCTCGACTAAAGTCTATTCTATAGTCTCGACTATTCTATAGTCTCTACTGTAGTTTACTCTGTAGTTTCGACTATAGTCTATTCTGTAGTCTCTCGACTATAGTGTATTCCGTGGTCCCGACTGGTCGATTCCATAGTCTCAACTATTGTCTATTCTATAGTCTCGACTATAGTCTATTCTATAGTCTGTTCTATAGTCTTGACTTTAGTCTATTCTATAGTCTGTTCTATAGTCTCGACTATGGTATATTCTGTAGTCTCGACTATAGTCTATTCTATAGTCTATTCTATAGTCTCGACTATAGTCTATTCTATAGTCGCGACTGTAGTCTATTCTATAGTTTCGTCTGTAGTCTATTCTATAGTCTTAACTATAGTCTAGACTATTCTATAGTCTATACTGTACTTTGTTCTATAGTTTCGACAATAGTCTCTTCTATAGTCTCGACTATAGTCTATTCTACAGTCTGTTCTATAGTCTCGATTATAGTCTATTCCATAGTCTCAACTATTGTCTATTCTATAGTCTGTTCTATAGTCTCGACTATGGTCTATTCTGTACTCACGACTATAGTCTATTCTATATTCTCGACTATAGTCTATTCTATAGTCTCGACTATAGTCTATTCTGTAGTTTCGACTATAGTCTATTCTATATTCTCGACTATATTATAGAGTATAGACTATTCTATAGTCTCTACTGTAGTTTACTTTATAGTTTCGACAATAGTCTGTTCTATAGTATATTCTATAGTCTGTTCTGTAGTGTCGACTATAGTCTATTCTATAGTCTTGGCTGTAGTCAATTCTATAGTTTCGACTATAATCTATTCTACAGTCTCGACTATAGTTTATTCTATAGTTTTGACTATATTATATTCTGTAGTCCCGACTGTAGTCAATTCTATAGTTTCGACTATAGTCTATTCTATAATCTCGACTATAGTATGGTCCCGACTATAGTCAATTCTATAGTTTCGACTATAATCAATTCTATAATCTCTACTATTGTCTATTCTGTAGTCTCGACTATTGTCTATTCTGCAGTCTCGACTATTGTCTATTCTATAGTCCCGGCTATTGTTTATTCTATAGTCTCGGCTATAGTCTATTCTCTAGTCTCGACTATAGTATATTCTATATCTTGACTATAGTATATTCTCTAGTTCCGACTTAGTCAATTATATAGTTTCGACTATAGTCTATTCTATAGTCTCGACTATAGTTTATTCCTTAGTCTCGACTATAGTCTATTCCATAGTCTCGACTGTAGTCTATTATATAGTCTCGACTAAAGTCTATTCTATAGACTCGACTAAAGTCTTTTCTATAGTCTTTACTGTAGTATATTCTGTGGTCCCGACTATAATCAATTCAATAGTTTCTACTGTAGTCTATTCTTTAGTCTCGACTATAGTGTTTATAAAAAACCGACTTTTGGAAAAACCGGTTTTTCGGTTAACCGAAAATTAACCATTTCTAAAAAACCGGTTTGTCGGTTAACCGAGTATAAAAAACCGGTTAAACCGGTTAACCGAAATGTTTGGAAATCTTTAAAATATTATAATATATAGTTGAAAAATGTCATTTTGCGAAATATTATAAATTACTTAATAAGATATTTGCATTTTTTAGTATAGATATGTACATTAATATATCATAAGAAAACAAACTTATATAGATCTGAAGATATTATTGATTCGTTAGGTATATGGAAGTTGCCATACGAGGGATAAATTGACCATATATATCAATAGCAAAAATTATGCCCAGAACTATAAACAGTGTTCAGGTTCGCGACGATTGTCTCGACATAGACAGTGACCTCCCTCCACTCACTACGCCTGTGGTTGTTCAAATTACTGTGAATGACGCTTAGGAATATTGACAGGTGTCATTCTGACTTCCTGTCAATCAACCTAAGCGCCATTACAGTTTGTGAAAAACCCCAGCAGCATAAGTTCTCGGACGGCAACAACAATCCTTATGTTTCGATAAATAAAGTCCGTTTTGAGAACGTTTGAGAAACTTCTCGATTTTTACTATACTCACGCAGTAAACAAGTAAGTATATAGATAATATTTGTTTAACAATCTTAGGTCTGTTTTCATATGCACAAACGGAAAATAATGTTTAAAATTATCTATCCAAAATTTTTAAAAATCACAATAAAATATCAAAGAAAACATACAATTTTGTACTAAAAATTAGATTTTTTTGAAACCGGTTAACCGAGACTTAAAAACCGGATAACCCGGTTAACCGAAAACCAATGTTTTAAAAAACCGGTTTGCGAAAAACCGAAATATGCAATAAAAACCGGTTTTTCGGTTAACCGGTTAACCGGTTTATAAACACTACTCGACTATAGCCTATTCTATAGTCTCGACTATAATCTTTTCTATAGTCTCGACTATAATCTTTTCTATAGTATCGACTATAGTATATTCTATAGTCTCGACTAAAGTCTATTCTATAGTCTTGAATATAATCTATTCTACAGTTTCGACTATAGCCTATTCTATACTAAGGTCTATTCTATAGACTCGACTAAAGTCTATTCAATTGACTAGACTAAAATCTATTCTATAGACTCGACTAAAGTCTGTTCTATAGAATCGAATAAGTCTATTCTGCACTGTAGACTAGTCTGCAGCCTAGTCTATAGTCTAGTCTGTAGTCTGAACTATAGTCTTGTCTTTATTCTGGACAACAGTCTGGCCTATAGACTAGACAATAGTCTTAAGTCTGCGCTATAGTCTAGTCTGTAGTCTGGATATTCTATAATTTTGATTATAGTTGTCTATATTCTGGACTATAGTCTAATCTTTAGTCAGGACTTTAGTCTAGTATATATTCTGGACTATAATCTAATATATTGTCTGCTTACTCTCTACTATCTGGACTATATAGTCTACATTCTAGTCTACATATATGGAATATAGTTTGGTGTCTATTCTAGACTACAATTTAGTTTATAGCTTAGTGTATGTTTTGGAATTTAGTTTGATCTGAACTGTGGTATAATATACAGTCCATATTTTGG